AAATCTATTTTGTTTTTTATTGTAATTTAAAAATAAATAATCATAAATAAGAAGTTCACCAAAATTAAACAAATATTAGCATATAATTTAAATTTAAAAGAATTTAAGAATTTTTAAGCTATTTATAGACATAATTTAAAGGTATGTACTATTTAAGGTTTTTTTACTAAACCAAAAAATTTGAAAATTTTTATTTTGTATCGTTAATTTTATATAGGTAAAGGTGAATTGGGCATTCGTGTAGTAAGTGATCTACTACCTCTTTTTAGGTGTATCAGCCATCATATGATCGTATTATACTAGGTGTAGTTGGTGATCTACAATTATTATTAATATATAGTTATCAAATGCACATTATCGCATACCGCAGTGGATTCATTAAAAATAAAGAATATAATCACTTGACTACAAACCATTCTAAAAATGTCTGCTAACAGAAGCCAACACCCAGATAATAGAAATGTATTTGATGACAACTTAAAATTAAAACACTTCAGAAAAATTCATGGCACTACATAAGAACTTTTACATTGTCATCTGATTGAAGCATGGTGAAAGTTAGTTAATCCTCAGCATACTTTTTTAAAAATTTTAATTGATACTAAAATGTTTACTTGAAATTTTTATTATACTTGGCTATTTATTTTTTATTTTTTATAAATGACGAATATTTGTATTATATGATGTAATAAAAAATATAATGTGCTTTTATACTATTAAAAAAAATATATATATTTAATTTGTATGTAGATCAATCGTCCTGAATTCGCAGGTCACTCTACCGCAGTTACCTGCTACACAAATGCCCTGAATTGATATTATACTATTTAAAGTTATATTTTGATTTTTAATTGATTATGAGTGTTTTAAAATTATAATAAATTATAAAAATAAAAATAGATTCTTATGAACACAAATATTGTTTGTTGTACATTTGTAGGACGGAGATAACTTATATGAGTGTTTTGAGTTATTTTAACTTTTTAATAATATATATTTTTACATAATTTGACAGTTTTACAAACAATATTTTTTACTATTAATATTTTTAACATTTTATTTTATAATTTTACAATAGTGTATGATTTTTGTGTAAGAATACACGATAAATAGTTAAAAAAATGCTTCGATTTTATACTTTGAAGGAGGTTTCGGATAGCGAATTGGATCTAGTTTTTGCTTTAAATAGGTCAAAATACAAAGAATTTTCTAAAATAAACGAATAAAAAAGCCGGAAATTTTTATGCAACTCTGACAAATTTGATTTTAATTTTTTGGTAGGTATAGCTGAAAACTGAATAAACGCAGATACTTTAAATTTCACCAAATATTTATACATGTATTTTTTAAACATAATAGAGTATTCAAAATATTTTAACTTTTTTTTGTTAACTATTGACATTATTTTTTTTTTTAATTTTTTTTTAATAAATGTTCAAACAAAATTTTACTCGGTCAAAAAGCTTGAAAATGTAAAAAAAAGATCCCTAAAAGTTAATCTTATGGATTTGTACAAATATTTAAAATACATTAGTACAGTTTATTTTTATAAGCACAAAAATATTAACTAGTAGTAACTTGTAAGTGTACCTCGTGTCATTTGAAAAAGTCACTGCAATGGGTATATGAAATTTAAATTTAATGATAAATCATTGCATCATTGCATACAAAAACGACTCTTTTATTTCGATTACTATCATTTTATAAAAAAAAAAAAATGTTCACCGAAATGATTATATGTATAATAATTTTAGCAGCCCTAGGCAATAAAATCCAATATTACGATACGTTAGGACCTAAGGTACCTAAGGCTTAGATCATTGTAACATAACTATGATAGAAGGTATTTCATTTGATATTTGCTATATAACGGTATAATGTAAGGAAACAATATTCCATCCGCAAAACCTCAGTAAAAGGGGAGAAACTCCAAAAATAAAGAGGGCGCAATAAATTATTGTTCACACCCTTGAGAGGCAATCGACCATAATGTATGCGTTTATCCCAAAGCTCAGCAGGAGACTCTCAGACGTGTAATAATTATTTTAGAACGTAAATTATCATCAGGGGCCTAGAATGATCTCCATTTGAAAACTACAGATCATTGAGAATAGAAATATTTAAACTAAACTAATGACACACAAATGTTAACTTGCTATTATATTTTTATACTTAAAAGGTTTTAATAATGATTTCATGTAAAGCCTTTTAACATTTAATGAAATACAATACTAATTGAATATTAATCTAAACATTGAATTTAAAGTTTATTGACCTAGTTAATACTACAACAGCAAAAAATACAACTATTACAGTATAAACAGTATAAATGAGGATAGATTCAAGTAATAAAAGTGATCAGAAATGTTATAGAAATATTATTAATTAACCAAAGATAAAATAAAAAAGCATATTCTATATTTTTTAAGTTAATAAAGCATTAAGTATCTAAATATTATAACTCAAACTGTTAAATTTATTAGAAATAATTATTTTTAATTTTGTTTATACCAATTTAAATATTAATTGTTTTAAACTATTTAATTATGAGTATTCAATATATTATGATACATACAACTTAATAACCTTGCTACAACAAATATTATACATTTCACAAAAACTCTACTTAGGTAGAATTAAAATCAGATTTTACAGCCTACAGGTTCCTACACATTTTTGATCTTATTTTAATATCATAACCTAATCACTCTTTTAGCTTAAGTAAAACATAAAATTAATAATTTAGTAAATGATACAAAGCACATTTTACCAACCGATTAATCACTGGATTTTTTTTTAACAATTAATTATCTTATATATTGAACACACACATATGTATCCTTATTTTACAAAAATTTGATAATTAAATTTAGTTTTTTTTTTTTTTTACCGTGTATATAATAATATTATAAAAATATAGTGTTTAAAATGAATCGTTTTTAAAAGAGAACTGCATTCTGAATGTACATCTGAGAAAATTACCAGGTAATTAGTTAGCGTAAAAATAAATTAATTCTAGACAAAATAATAAAATTCATATGAATCATATTTATTTGATACTTACAATACTAATTAATATTAAAATGTACTTTCTTTAAAATAAAATATTTTTAAATATTAAGAAATAGCAATTTAAACCAAAATATCTTTGGATTTAATAATATTTACATCTTTTAAGATATAGATACATAGTTCAGATTTGTCTAAATTAACCTGTGATTTGTTAACATCAAATTAAATTGAGAAGTAAACGAAAATATTTATATTTTGTTTAATAAATATTTCCAAAAATATTTGTAATTCTCAATGTTTAAAGAGATTATAGTAAATAAATGTATAGATAATTAATAGCTATGTATAACAAAGTATTAACCAAAAACTCAATAGTACATAAATTAGTATTCAACAACAATAAATATAACAAATAAACTTGACTTAAACATAAAATATTAATAAAATCACAATTTAAACCAAAAAATAAAATAAAATAAAAAAATTAGTTTGAAAAAAAAAGTGTATTTTTCTAAGTATTAATTACTTTACAAAATTAAACCAACCTACCTACTTACAATAAGATAATTTACATCAATCAAACCTAACTTTATCAAATTAATTGAATATTGTTTTTGGGAAATGTCTGCTTTGAATTCAATATAAATGAAAGAAGTCAGAGTTCAAAACAGTTGTTAGTTGATAAGCATGAAAACTAGATATTCTCTTTAAGGAATAAAATAAAGTACATGCAATATATTATGAAAACAAAAAATAAGTATTATTTTCAATAGAGAAAGTTTCTGTCAAATATTAGACTAAACGGATATCTACTTAAAATCTAGGTAAACTAAAAATAGATAGATAGGTAATATGTATTGATTTTGGGATTGGCTATATTATTTTTCATTTCTAAAAAAAAACTTAAATATCAAAACATTTTCACAAAATATATTATACAATACATGATAGTAAGAGTAACCAAGAGTTAATGTGAACCTTTACTATTTTATAACCCGTATACATAGTTAGGTTATTGTTAAAAATTATAATAAGTAATCAAAATATTTTTATAAACTTAACACAAATTAAAATCATTTAGGTAAAAACCAATATACCTATAATTATTATAAAAATAAATAAAATAGAATTATTTATGTATCTAGATAAATAAATAAAATTTATAAATTATTATGAAAAAATGTTATATAACTAATTTAGCAGTAATAAGTAAAAAAAAAATGCCCGAAATTATAAGTGCTTCTTACACAAGTGTTTAGGTATTCTAATAATGATGTATGTTATATTTATTTTATCTTAAGAAACATAAATTAAAGGTAATATATAAAATACATGTAGGTTTAAATTAAGTATGTCAACCAAATGTTTGTAAATAATTAAAACATCTGTATAAAATATTTTATAATATACAAGCAAGAATGTAAAGAGTGAATCAGTTAGGTATGGAATTATTATTTTATTACATAAGTAATAGAATACTAATTAAGGTATATATAATAAATACCAATATAATCAAATATTTTGTATCAAAATGATTAAATATGTATTTAGGTACAATAATTTAAAATTATATATTATATCTAACAAAAAAAATGTTATTTTCAACCCAACTAGCTGATCATTGAGGGTTTTGAATTATAACTAAAATAGCTAAAAACTAATAGTAAATTGTTTTTTATTAGAAATGCATATGTATACACACAATAAGCTGTTTAATAAAATAAACACAATTTTTATAGAGTAGTAAATTCCATTTAAATATTATTAAATTGGCTTGGTGACAAAACTAAAATCCGTATTTACACGAATTTCAAGCTTTAACCTACATAATATTATGATAACATTCATCAAATTTGTAATGGACACTCCTGAATTAAAATACCTAATGTTCGAATAGTAATTCAAATATAAATACGCACGATAATAACGTTATCAGACTGCTACCGATACCAATCAAAATATATTAATATATATATATATCAACATACCATCTTTCAATTTGGACGTAGAGTTGTTGCAGTTTGGCTGGCAGTACATACTGTGTCATTTGTAAAGAAAAAAAAAAGGAGAAAAAAATTAAAGATATATAATGTTTAAGATTACCGACGGATTGAATTTCAACACTTAAGCTAAAAGGACGTTATCAGACATTTCGTTTTGTACATGATTACCTATATTATTATTTTAAAATATTAATATTGTTATTGTTTTACTAAAATAATAATGAAATTACAGTAGCCGTTCTTGTTGCGCGTGTAATAATGAACGGACGTGTTATCTCGTTTGTTGTTTTTCGTAACTCCGTTTTATCCCTTTATCTGCGTGGGTGACCGTCTGTTTTGCAGACGGCGCGCAGTGCCACCAACCCGCACCGACCGGAATGTCCCAGGCGCCTACCGGAATACCGTCGACGCCGACGCACACGACCACGAACGCAGCTGCTGCTTAATAATTCCCGTCGAAACCATCGCGACTGGCGATTGCCCCGATGACGCCGGGACGACTTAATCGCCGTTTAATACCAATACGGACGCGACATCGCCATCACTCCGCGACTCTCAAGAAATAATATCGCGATAATATTATAATACCTTATAATCATTTTCGTTTTCGATCCAAATCGAATATCATTTTCCGACCTTCCGGGCTGGACACACTGTTCTCCCCTCGATTTCACACTTCTCGTGTGTACGAGCGTTTAACCGATTCACCGCTGCTGTAATTGTATACGAAACAACGAAACGTCAAACGTTCGATTTGCGAGCTGGTCGAGTTCTTATCCACACTCGAATGCCCCTGTAGACCTGCGTTGCGCGAAGCGAATAAACGAGTCAACTGACCTACCGTTTTTATGATAATACCCAATACCGTCGTTATTATTGTTTTTTCGTACACGTCACGTCGTACGAACGGATGCGAATCACTCGTGACCTTAATCATCAGACTTTTTAACGTTGCGAACAAACAAAAAACAAAAACGGCAACGATTTGCTGTGATTGCAGACTTTATTTATTTAATTCTAAAATAATCTATTGCTCACACAGACAAATCGAGGAAACGAAAAACACTGTCACATACTGTCTCGACTTTCAAATCAATATTTATTATAATATATTATATATATATATCCGATATCGCTACTTTGACTTTAACCGATCTAAGAAATCTAAAAAAAATTTTATTTGTAAGGGAGTAGGGACTACTAACGTTTTTTTTTTCTTTTTTACCTATGTGTTACCTATCTCTTAGATTAATCATTCACATTTTTAATCATAACAACATTTAAATATGATTTCTATTTCAACAAACAAATTCTAAATAGTTTAATTTATTTTATTTTTATTTCTATCACAATACAAATCTAAGTTTGAGTAAGAGATAGATAATAATACAATTAAATACAATAATATAACAAATGTAAATATAATAGTATGCAGAAAGGAAATTAAAATAATAAAAAAAAGAAAGAGAAGGAAAAAACATGGTTAATTATTTTAACATAAAGTAAAAAGAAACGTACATAAAATTAAAAATATTTTAATTATTTTAATTTTAAAAATAAACAATTATGAATAATATTTTTACAAAACATTTTTTTTTTTTTTTTTTAACTACAATGACAAAGAATTAAAATACTTAGGTTTTAAATAGTCAACGAAAGATTGATCCAAGAATTTAAAATCATACTTTAAAAAGATATCGTAACTCTGTTCGATCTTTCGTTTTCGAAAAATAACTTTCTAATAGAACGTATAAATACAAATATAATATAAAAGAGCTATTTTTGTTACATAAATATTTTACTGGCAATTGGCATTACACTCAAATCTCATTTTTATTTGTACCTATAAATATGATTAAAATTGATATATTTTACCTCTATAAATATATAATATATTAATAATTAATAAAAATGTAAACTGTACTATGGACTACGGTCTACTGTGTATACAGTTTCAGTGATAAAATAAAATCATTTCATCAGATGGGGTGGACTGAGAGACAACCTAGTATTATTCAATAATACACTAAAAGTAATAATTTAATATTTTCAAACATTCAGCAACTCCATTGGCCAAATATTGAATTCGGCGTGCTATAACAGCTATTATTATACCTAAAAGTTATAACACACTAGCATACCAGACTGCCCCCTTAATGGCTGAGTATAAGCACTAAGTATAATAATAAATATGAGGGAGGGTTACCTCATATATACTCAGATACTGAGATACTCTGAAAGCCTGAAATGATATTATAAATATGTGTGGCATACATTTTATATTACCTACTTTATTAGTGTTTATACTTTATTTTCACAATCATAATGCCTATATGGCTATATAGCTTATAAAATATAAGTTATAACATTATTAATTCTTAGATTATGTCCTTCGTACATTCTCACTAATATTGTTGAGATGTTCAGTTCAAAATAATATTTTATCACAAAATTCCTATAGCTATAAAATAAATGACATTATTTTTTTAAATCAACAATATCTAATGACTTTAATCTAGAACATATATATTGATGCAACAATTAGGTACCTTATTACTTGTTACCTATCTACATATAAATCAATATGATAAAAGATTTTTTTCATTCCAATTGACAATAAATCTAATGGTACAACCAACAAAATAACTAAATATTTAATATATTAATATATATATTACTATATAAATATTATACAGTTTTGTGTTTTTATGATAATAATAATATTATATCCATATATTTATAATAGCTATAAACTAAAACTCATGTATCTAATACAACTAATTGTTGTCTTAATAAATCTTATGTTATATGTTATCTTCGAAAATATTAGTATAATACATATTTTTAGATTAGACATAAGACATGTAAGTATTATTTAAAATAAAATTACAAAATCCTTGATTAATAACTCATTTTAATTTTTACCTTTTTCAATAGGATTTGTCTAGTACTCCTACAAGTTCATAACTATCAAATATAAATTCTTATTTTTGTTCTCACTTGTATGCATTAATTTCACAGGTATTTAAAAAACTATCGCAATGATTGAACATTTTTATTGAATTTGTGATTTTAATTATTATGTCAATTTCCAATTTATATTAGAATAATTTTGTTTTATAGGTATGTAAATAATTTGATGTAAAATAAAAACCAAACTAGGCTGCAGGAGGTCCTTATTTTGTAGTGAAACAGTCTCCAGGGACTTTGCTTCTCCTAAAATTTAACTGTGAGTATTCATAATTTTGAGGTAGCAAAAATCGAGTAATAAAACAAGTGTTTAATATAATTTCTAAACATTAAATAATTAAAATATGATACCTAATTGTATGACTATAATAACAGGAAGAAATTCATTACTGATAGGTACTGCAGAAAAATGAATATAACTTATACGTTATGTACACTATATAGTACAATAGTATGTTTAATAAATATCGATTACCTATTGACTATTAGCTATTTTTATATATTAATTTAATAAAAATAAAAATATGTAAGCACCTAATACTAAATATTAATACAAATGTTTTCTTTCAATTTTTTTATACTTTTTATCAAAATAATTAAATTTTGAATGGGTATTATTGTATTATTACATGTTATCATTTTATACCTACATTCGCAGGTCACAGTTATCTTTAATATTCTCAATAGAATCTACAAAATGATTGAAAAACATTACGTTGCTTTTAATTTTAATTAAAAAATAAATACAATTAATATATGTAATGGCATCAGGTAAAAAGATGAATGGAAAAAAGAATGATGTTTAAAGTATAAGTTATATCTTATCTTAACTAAAGAAAAAAACATAAATAACCCAAATTGAATAAGAATTCCTTTCGTGATTAAAGCACATAAAGTGAATAGTATATACTTATAGAGTTTTATAAGAAATAAAAAAAAATGAAATGGGTACTGGGTAGAAGATTTTATTATTAATATATAAAAATATGATAATATAATGATTTTAAATACCTATCCATTTCATTTTTTTTTTTTTTAGGTATAGATACATAAATAAAATCACTTTAATATGATATGGGTACGTAATAATACTTTTCTATCACTAATATTATTATAGTATATACATACAAACTTACTCAATGATATTTTTGGAAAAAAATAATGATTTTTCTCTTCCTATAAGATTATGATATACGAGCTATGTTTTTTTTTTTAGGATTTAAATGAAATATTTAGGTATCTAAACTCTATATAGGCTGTAGGTATTAAATTTAATTTAATTGAGTCGTTTTACAATAAACTAAAAAAAAAATAGTATTGATATTTTACATAATATTTATTATAAACATTTATATAGTTGTTCACTTTTTGTTGTACAAATGTATACATTATCGTTCTTTTTTATGATAAGTTTACCTCACTCCTCTCAAATACATAATTTTTCAGAAAACATCTAGCAATAACATAATTTAATCTCCTATGAATATCGATTTATAATTTATATCGTGTATATTGTATAATTAAATAAGTAGATTTGAACAAGTCTTGAACTTTTTTTAATTTTTAAAGTTATAATATTGATAAATAATGATAATATAGCTATAATCAACAAAAGTCAGTAAATGTATTATGATTGTAGGTAAATCTATGTTATATTCTTAAGTGTACAAAGATCAAAACACTTATTTAATAATTTTATTATTTTATGGGGATACTCTAAAGTCGTCGTATTATGATCTTGTACTCTGTTATTTATTAAAAACATTATGTGGGTAAATTATGAGACCATATAGTTGTCTTATAGCGACCTTATTTGATTTATCCATTCTACAAAAGATAACTAGATACAATTGTAGCTATAATCTATATGTATTCAAGTAATGTTAAAAAGATTTCACTTTTTTTTCAATTTTATTTTTTCTATTATATAAATTTTAGACATAACAATTATTCTATAATCAGACATTAAACTCTACGAATATCATTATGCCAACAGAAAATGTTAGGCATCATTACTAATTATCTGGGCATCGGTTAGGACCCTTGAAGTTAATGTATTTTCATTCTCAAAAATAAAATCTATGTGAATAATGATTCAATCCTATAGAATAAACAAAATTTAACTTAATTTTTTTTTTTTTAAGATAATTTTGAAAAATGTTTAAGCGGCCATATTTAACTACATTTTTCAATATTTTATTATCAAACTTTAAAATGTCTTTGAAAAAGACAATTTTAAGCTTTTTTACAAATTATTTTTTACCATTATTTAAATTAAAATAAAATAAAATATTAGATTTCGAAGTCAGCAATAGAAAGTCAG